ATTTCATCTGTATATGAATGCAGAATTGTAATTTGCTACCTACTGCTGCACAACTAGTAACTTCTTTCTTGGAATAACATTATAATGTATTTTCTGTGAATATACAGAAACAGCTCCTGAGCCATAATCTCTCACATCTGAAGTAACTATTTATAACAGCTGCAGTTGTCTGCCATTTCATTTCCCCAATATATTTTCAACATGAATTTCCAATGCAATCTAAGCAGACCAGTAATAATAAAACCTTATTTAATTATGGTATCAGATCACTATAATTTTCCTAAATTATTTTTCTAAATTGTCTAGCTTTTTACCATGAATTCTATTATCTGCTTCCAGATCTTCATTTAGCTTCAGCAGTAATTCACCCTCTTCTAAAAATGAGAAGTGCCAGAATGCACATGAGAGCCTGACATATCCCACCAAAAGAGTTTAAACATATGCCAAAAAACCAAAAAAAAAAMCAAACCCATGCTGAGYATTTTTTAATCAAAATGTCTTTAGTTAAGTGTTTACAGTTTACTGCCAGTTAGACTTATAATTGTTTCAAACAAGACTGCAATCACTTATGGCAGTGTGTGACAGAAATAGATTAGGAGACATTTTGGCTCACATAAGGTGTCAGTTAAATGTAGCAAGCCATCACAAACGGCAAAGGCAAACAGCTCAGCAAGCTGCAATCACTTCTTAATGATAAATCACTGGCAGAGGCAAGACAACAGTCAAGGGGTCTCACTTTTTGCCTGTGTTTCTTGACCAGTTTTCTCCATCCTGCAGATGTAAATTTTGGTGCTGGCCATGCAGTATTTCTTTCCAATGAACAAACAACATTTGGCTCACTTTGAACAACAAACTTTCGTATACTTAATCAACCAGTTCATTAGAGCATGAAGGAAAATTGGTCATGACTTCAGTTCCTGTACTGCTGGAATTAACAAGCTGGCTGATGCCAGCACTAAAGTTGGAAGTGCTAACAGTAATTAAAATCTATTTTCAAATACATCTGACAGTTTTAAGGTGAAGTACTTGTTATTCATGTGACTTTCCAGACAGTGTACAAAGAAAAAAAAAAGCTACTTTCTTCAGGAAGGTGTAGGCTGTGGGAATGACCTAATTAGTTATTAATTAATTATTAATTCTCTCTGATACAGCATTTGTTCTCTTTTAGTAAGTTTATGGCTGTGTGTCTCCAAAGCCTTTGAGTAAGGAAAACTTGAAACTAGAATTTACAAGCATTGCTATTTTTAGTTACCCTGTTTTGACACATACGGACACACACACACACACACACATATATGTATATAACTCAGAAAGATATGACAAAATATTGCTAATATTGAAGCTGGCATAAATTATCAGTAGCTTTATTATTATTTGGCAGAAGTCCATGTAGCCCAACCAGTCAATTTTCCCTCACATGCATTTGGGTAAAATACTTCATATTAACGAAGTACTCTAACACCTAGCTCAAATTCAACTCTGTTCTTCCAAAAGGTAATCTTAATTATTCAACACAGTCACACTATACAGGGTGGAAAATAAGGGGATGATAATCATACTTTGTTTYCCACTTCATTTTCTAAGCCTGCTTCCTGGTTAATTCAATCTGTTGGATCAGTGGGAGGGACATGGGATAGATTAAAAAAATGTTGACTGTCAGATCACCAGGGGATTTGAATTAATGTTCTTTTGCACAGAGTGGAAGCATATGGGCCACAGAGTGCAGCTCTCCTTGGAAAATTACTGTCAAAACAGTACCATCTCTATTAACGGAGCTGCTGACTTGTGAAGCAGGATTCAGATTTTTACTTGAGTTAACCTTCAAAAAACACCTTCAGAGTAACTGCTTAGTAATAACCTCTTGCTACACCAATAATATTGCCTAATAATAGCTTATGCAAGTCCCACCTGTACAGCTCCACAAGTGCCACTGTAGAATATAACATTCCATAGGTCCYCTTATGATAATGTGAAGGACGGAAAGTTATACTCATCCAGCCTGACAATTGCTATCAAGACCCCATTTTCCTCCTGTAAAATGGGAAAGCACTTTTGAGCTAATATCCTTCACATAAGTAATGGGAATTTCACAGTAGGGGCTTACTGCTCAATTTGCCTGCATTTCAGCTGATTTCCAAGGCTGAAGTTCTGTCTTTGTAGATAATCAGATACAGACATTTCTTTTAGACATTTCTCCCACAAATGTTCTAGCTGGTTTCCCCACCAATTTCCATGAAAAGTAGGGAGGATCTCTTATGTGTACTTTCTTTATGTGCAAGCTATGAAATGTTTTATCTGAAGAGATCGTTAATGTCTGACAGTTAAGCTCTAAGAATAATAAGAGATTGCAGCTAAAGCTTTACCTACACATTAAGTAAGATTGCACCCCTATAAGCAACCTCTTTTCTGCAAAGCCCCTACCCCTCTCAGCATGTACCACAAAGGAGCCATGAGGAATTCCGCTCAAAGTACTATTGACTTACATAATTAAAAAATGACAAATTTTAGTCTTCTTCGCCATACTAATGAAAAAGAGACATACCAGCCATTAAAAATGCGTCCAACAGTTGCATGGATTTATTGCATCAGTTTATTAACATCTTAACAGAAATGCAATTTTAAAAATAAACTCAGAACAAAGTTACCGCATCATTAAGAGACTTTTTAATCTGATACTTCTACTACTACAAAATTTATTCCTAACCTCATTCATCATGCATAAAGACTGAATCAAATCTCCTACATAAATGTGACTAGTGCACATTTTTATAATGAAGAACATCAGGATACTGGTGGTATGTGCACCTTCAAGCACATAATTAGTTGTTTCTTTGCTGTGTCTATTAGACCTCAAGATCCCTGCAGCATATGCTTTTACTTTCCATATGCATCAAAATTCATGTAATTCATTTTTAGAGTTACTAGAGATTCTCAGTGCTAGATATAAGAAATATCTAAGGAACTTGTTTTACAGAAGGTAGCTCTGAAAAAAATTTATTCAAAGGTGTATTGACTGGGACTTTTTGCTTCTGTATGTGTAGCTAAATGTCTGGTTTGTGAATATAGTGCACATAAATATGCTCTTAAGCAAGAAAATAGCTTKAGTGGTTGGGTTTCAGTCTGAGTGAAGGGTTTGTCATAAATTCAGGGTAATCCTATTCCGTAATGCTGCTAGCACTAGGAAATGCATTCTGCAGCTGTCTCTGGCAAATATATGAGGAATACCTCATATATTTTGAGGTTCCCTGTGTTCACTATRTATTTTGCAGCCCTTTTTAAAACAGATGACTCATTCTTCTCAGATAAAAAAAGCAAACCATTTGCTAAAAATTTACTCTCTTTAACATTTACTTTCTCTGTTATGAAAACTTGGGAGTTTCCTCTTGATGTTAAATATAAAATCATTGTTTCTTTGAAAAAGATAACTGATGAGTTCCGTTTAGCACACCTAATTGCTGCATTTACTATTTCAGGAGACAATACAATGCAAGTAACACACACAAGGAAGTTACTCAACAAGGACAAAGTACCTTGTGTAATAGATGGTAGTTCAGAATCCTCACACTAAAACTGAGTGAAATATTTATTACTATGTTTTTGGTCACCCTGTTATTTGAGTAATTGCATTCATAAATTTTAAAGCAAAATTTTTAAATGCTGAGCTTTGGCTGAAGTCACCTGAGAATGCAGTCATGAGTCTTCAGACAATAAGCTACAGTGTAAAAAGCAAGGCAAAAACTTTACTCGATTCTTCTTTTCCCYTCTTTCACATCTTGTACTTTGCACTTAAGGGTTGGTTTCAGTACAACATGAAAAATTTCTGCAGACATGACATATTCAACCTTTAAAAAATAAGTAGTTGGCATTAGTTTTGCAACCCATGGTAAGGATGGAACACTAACATTCAGACACTTCATTTCCTAATTACCAGAAGATAAATGTGCATAAAATTATTAGGCAAAATTATCTGAACAGCATCAAAAGAAATAAATGTTCCATAGGAAATGAATTTAGTAAATTTTAAGGACACTGGAAATGTTCACCACAACTTGTTCAAGAATTGTAACTTGTTTTGGTACTTGACTAAATGACTTTAACCCATCTTTAAAAATTAATAAACTTAATCAATTCCATTTAACTATGAAATTACTTTTTTAAAAGCAATTTGCAAGATCTAAACTCTCAAATATCTTTTTGTTTGTCTCCTTTGGTTAATTTCTCTTACCCAGCTTTTTATGAGTCACTTAACTACTTCTAAATCCCAAACACATTTAGGTGATCTAGAAAACAACTATAAAAAGAGGTACTCAGCCTGGATCATTAAAATGAYGACTGTAAATATAGGCTTTTACAAAAGCCTTTTTATAACTTGCTTATGCATGGCTTTCTCAAATCATTGCTGCAGGACTAGTACTGACCTGCRGAGGGAAGGCACCCTTCAGTTCCTGTCACTGCTTCCGAATTTGTATTCTGAAAAATGATGAAAAAATGCTGAAAAAATAGCCTTCTCAAACTGACTTAGCTATTAACAAATCAAGAACGTATTTTTCATAAGGAAATTACTTCTTACTTAAAAAACATTACAATTCCATCAYGAATACAGTAACTCAATATACTGTTTTTTTGTGGAAGATTTTTGAGGTTAGAAATGCCTTTTGGCTTACATTTGCTTTCTCTGCCAGGAAGGGAAAAATAGAGGTGTGGAAATGTCTGCAAACAGCAGAAGTAGGTCTGTTAAAGAGATATAGAATATAGCTCTGGGGGAAGAAAACATGCTTTTCACAGCAGAAAATTTGTAATGGATAGTGGAAGATCAGTTGCAAAGGAAAATGAGCCATTGCCTGGACATCAGGATGTGGTGAGCAGCAGCATTGGCACAGAAAAGCCTCTTTGGTCTTCAGCTGAAACTGGGTAAGCCCAATTGTAGCTTGGAAAATAAAGCCACATGGGACACTTTCACTTGTGTGCAAGTGGCTTATGCCACCAGTTTTTTTTGACTGATACACCTCTAGACAAGGCTGGTGCTATAAAACTTTCTTCATACCAGAGAAAGCCAGGGGAAGGAAATCAGCCACATCTGTTAAGACCTGCCCCCAAAAACCAACAGTCAAAAGAATATCCATTGCCTTATCCAATTTCTGGATTTACACAGCAGAAGCTGTTGTCGGGATCTTCACAAATTGAAGGCAAGTGAGACAGCAGATGGCAGAGAAAAGCTTTCCACTGGGGAGCAGAAACACCCCACAACACTCTGACTATGGAAATCACAGGGAAATTATCCTTCCTTCTAACACATCAGAATGGCCAGATTTGGTCAGTGGTGTAAGGACATGGTCACACTCCTGATAACATGCCCTTTGGCTCTGGGCTGTGGAGGCTCATGGGCTTCCTCTCTTTTCATGTAACCACCTCAGCTGGGCTGAGAAGCAGTAGGAGAGGCTCATAAACCAAAAAACTGTAATTCCATCTCAAAGGTAGCACTAGGGAAGGAAGCCCTGTAGTGGGATAGCTGGGATGTACTGCAGTCCTGAAGAAGAGGGATGTCTCAGGAGACAGCAGGGTTGAGAGGCATCTTGGCAAATCCACTTGGCCACACTCTTTCCCAATGACATCACTGGGAATTTTGCAAAGTGGTTGAAGCCATTTGGCCTTGAAGCCCTGCTGTGTGTTACACATTAAGAGATTTCACTTTTACATAGGATGTAATTAGAAGTTAAGGCAAATATGAAAATTCTTGTATTTGCCATATGCCTATTTAAACTACATTTTATTGAAATACCTTGTCAGTTTCCACCTCTGTCAAAAGCTGTGTATATCAGACCTCTTTGGGATGTTCTTGAGGGTATTGATTCCTAAATGGCTCTGCTTTCCTCTCACCATCACCTGACATTCAATTCCACATCTTCYTGTTTCTCCTCTGGGATAAATGTGTTTTGACAGGTTGTAGACCTTTCTATTTCAAAATTTCCCTTCTGGCAACTGCTTAATTTCCTMAACTCCTTTCATTTTTTCATATATTTTTTAATAGCAGAGAAACAGAACCACTGAGAAACTACATTTCCAATTACTGTTTTGGTATAAACTCTAGTGCTTTTGGGACACAAGTGCCATTCTAGCTGTACTTTGACTCTGCATTTGCTACTGTTAACACCCACAATAACTGTATATTAACTGATATGTAAGGCGGTGGCCTCTTTTCTAGATCATGGAAGCAAGAAACAAATATTTAAGCTTTATATGTCTCTGTGATCCCAGACAGACATATCATAAATTCTTCTTCCATGGCAAAGATAAATTATTCAAAAATTCAAACAGAACAGAATATGCAAAAGTAAGTGAAAGAGTAGCATACCTGAATTCTAAAACAAAGTCTCAAGAAGTCAAGGACATAAAGACCAGGCACGGACCTGAAATGCTGCATAGCTAAAATGTTACTATGGAAATAAAAAAATAACCCCCAGTGTACATATTGAGCAAATGCCTTGCAAAAGACTCCGCTGACCTATTGGAATGTACAAAACTGTCAAACTCCAATACACCTTTATAATCTTCTGTGTTACTCTAGACAAAGGCCAAGGTCTTCAACAAGCAGACTAACACTGAGCATGAGAAAAACTGGTGCCAGGGTTACTCCATGAGGGAGTATGAGCAGGAACTGAGGGTGACCCCAGCACAGGGGTCAAAGAGCAGGGCATGGTTAAGTGATGAACTGGTCCAGGGAGCTTCCAGGGATTCCAGTCAGGAGCAGGAGGACATAGAGCTGGAGGCAGGGTTGCAATGCAGTTTCAAGACCCACACAGGTACACCTGCTGACACCGCTCAGTGCAGGACTGGGGCTGCTCAGAGTAACTGAGGCCAATCAGTGCTCTTACAGCCCTGAAACAGTACAACAGTTTGCTTTWATACAAATCAAGTGTACTTTTGTTAAACAAAGTGCTGGTGATAGGTAATGCCTTATCAAGAACAGCAGGGCTATATCTGGATTTTGGTCAGTTTATTACCATTGTTTCAATTTTTTTGCAACTTGTGCTTCTATTTGATAATGTGAAATAATCTGAACAATTATGAGGCTATTAATTAAAAGGAAAAGCAGTCCTGCCAACCATATAAATAAGAAAGTGTTATATCCTTTGAACTCCAGAAAGTATGCAGGAGTAAGCCACAGGCCTTGTCCAAAGAACCACAGAAAAAGAAGCACTACACCACGCCTCCAGGACATCTTAATACTAGGCATTACAACGGGTAAAAGGCAGAGATACCAGACAAAGTACTGGGATGTGCATACTTTGTTAAAAGTCACAAAAATAGCGGTATGTAGGAAACAACTGAAGGCAAGATCTCTGTAGAACGCTATGGACACAACCAGGAGCAAAAGAAGCTGGGGCARGAAAGCAGCAAGCCCAAGGGCAAAACTCCATTCGCTCTCTGCTGTCAAGTACAACATGTAGAAATAAGGAGAGAAGTTATGACGGATATCCCTCCTGGTCAGGTGATAGAGGTAAGCATGCTCCAAAAACTCCCAGCCATAGATGTGATAAAATGCCACAGTCAAGGCAGCCAGCACCGATCCGGCAACCGTCCCAAAGAGCAGTACGTCGCGGTTCACCGTCTTTACAAAAAGGTGCCAGAGACGCGCCATGAACGTGAACTTTGCCGTTTTGTCACCSCCTGCATCGAGCGCCCCTTCCCCGCGGCAGCGCCTGGTGCGCAGCTGGAGCGCTATGGGCAGSGCGTAGGTCAGGGGATATATTTTCATGTGCACGGCCAGCCCGTAGCACACCGCGGCCTTGCCCACGCTGCCAGCCTCCACCCAGTACAGGGTGGCGAGCACCAGCAGCGCCACCAGCGCCTCCGCGTTGCCCCGGCTGGACACGGCCATGGGCAGGGGGTTGAAGAGCCAGGCGGCGGCGCAGCACCCACAGGCGCGGCCAGCGGCGGCCCCTCGGCGGCGCAAGGCCCGGTAGGCGACGACAGCAGCCGCCAAGTCCCCGGCCACGAAGAGCAGCTTCCCGAAGGCCTCGGCGAGGAACACGTTGGGCGTCAGCAGCCAGGCCAGGAGCGGCGTGTAGCGGTACGTAGCCCGCCGGTAGGGCGAGCGCCCCTCGGTCACCAGCCACGCCGCGTCCGTGAACACCCGGTAGTCAACGTCGGTGTAGCGCACCCGCATGGCGCGGTCCTGGTGCAGCCCGTACAGCACCAGCGCCAGCCGCGCCAGCAGTCCCGCGAGCAGGGCCACGCCCGCCGCCGCCATCCCTTCGGCGCGGGGTGGGGGGAATGCGGGAGCGGGGGTAATTAAGGAACGGGGGTACGCGACTCCCGGTCCCTCCCGCTGCGGAGGGAGCGCGGACAGTCCCACTCGGGGCGGCTTCCGCCCGCGCGCGCGGGGAAGAGGCGGCCCTGCGCCTGCGCCGTGAGGGCTCCGGAGCCGCGCCCCGGGCGGGGCGGTTCCGCGGGGCGGCCCGCGCAGGGAGGGAGAGGGGCCGGGATTGGGGCCTGCAGTGCCGCTGGGCTGGGGTGAGCTGGGGCTGTTCCCGTATGCCGCCGTGGCAGCAGTGGTGCGCTGCTGCGGACTGGGAGCTCGGCAGGGGATGGGCGTCGGTCTGAACGCAGAGCTGCTGTGCATCGTTATCCTCGCTGCCCCTGCCCCCGCCGCTGCCCCTTGCCCCCTCACCCTCCCTGGGACTGTCGGACTCCACGGGCAGAGACGCGGCAGATGCGTTAGTGGTTAAGTAGGAAGGAGAAGGAAAAATAACATCTGTTATTTACCTTCCGCAAGTGGCCGTGTTTTGCCTAGAGGTGTGAGCTCTCTCTAAAGCACTTAGGTGAGCTTSCTTCCACAGCAGATTTCTCGTTTAATTAGGTCAGAAACAGTACCCCGAAAATCGGAGCTTAGAGAGAGTTACTTACAGCTAAAGAATTCCACTCTTATTTTGAGGGCCTATTTTGTATGTTTTTCAAATAGTTTTCCTGTCTGGTTATTTGCCGTTTCACATCTGAATTGTGGCTGATTGAAAAACAGGCGTTTATTACTTTCCACTATTGCGGGTTTCTTATTAGAACTTAGAGGGGATTTTCTTTGAGATGCTTTCTTCACCAAAAATATGCAATTGCTTGTTTAGTAGTTAATTGCAACTGCCATCTTTTTGCTGAATGATTTCATTTGGGAAGGTTTGGGAGCTGCAGTGTTGCTGGCTCACATTGCCTACAAACGATTCTGCTTTTTCTCAGCTCTGGGAGCACCCATCAGAGAACTGGGAACAGTTCTTTTACATTTGGCAGAAGCTTTTTGGAGAGTGGCCTAAATGGTAGGATATTCAGGGGACAAAAGATACTTCTGTTTGTACACAGCCATTAATTTTTATCTGTTAAGGCTGTTGGTCTGTGTAACAGTGCAGAGGGGTATAGTCCGAGGTATCCATGGCAGAAACACAGTAACTAACGAACTTGGAGTGCAGTGTCAGTTTTTCSTGTCAGATATTTGCTTATTTTATACTAAAGTGGGCATCTTCAATAGGAAAGTTAAAGGGAATTCTCCATTAGCTCACTATATGGTATCATTAAGTCCTAAAACTGGTGGTTAGGATGTTTTTGGGAAAGGGCAAGAGGGTGGTTGTTGATCCTTTGTAAATAATTGCTTACTCACTACTGCTGTTCTACTTTAGAACAGGAAAGATTGGTAACATTTTCTTCTTTCTTTCATATATCTTATAATGGTTGGGATGCTTCTAAAATGCTTCCAGCAGGATATATATCCATTGTTGTGCCTAAGATTTTCTCTGGAAATGCTGGGAGATGGATACATACTGACTAAAATCACTAGGACTGAAATAACTTCAAAGTATATATGTAGATCCTGCTATTTTTTTTTTTTTTTGTTTGGAAAGGTTCATGAAGAACTGTTCTTGCTATCTGCCGATTTTCTCCCAGTATTGTTTTTCATTTTGTTGCCTCCTTGGATGGAATGTGTTTTACTATTTCAGACCCTGTGAGGGAACTGTTCATGGTCATATCAGAGGAGATTGCAGTTTATTTGCTGAAGTGTGCAACTTTAGTGATAATGGTGAAATAATGCTAGTTTAATAAATAAACATAGGAGTATGCCAGTGTTTCATGGTCTTGTTGTCTGTTTCTATCAGTTTGCAGACAAATCTTTTATCTAAAGTTAACAGAAGTTGTCAGTAGTGACTGTTTATCAGGATTCTAAGGAGGAAAAAAGTAGGTAATTTAATTCTAAAGGGTCATGAAGTTAATAAAACAGAAAATTTGCCTTAGCTATTGTTGCATGTACAGTGACTGTATGACATTGCCYGAGCTGGAAAAAGAATTGATTTTCCTTATCAATAATTTAACATCTTCAAAATATGCTTGAAGCTCTTCAGAGAATTAAGGTTTGGCTCAAAAATGCATTTGGTTCAGATTTGATACCASCTTGCTTAACCTGATCTGTCATGTACTGTAGACTTTAATGCAGGAAGGAGGGCAGTCTTATTAAAGTTATAAATGTGTTCTTCCTGTAAAAAGCTGATTTTATTTATATAAGTCACTGGGAGCCASTTTTAGAAAATGCTGGGAGAGAAAACTAATAGAACTTCTGGGACTGAAGCTGATTGATGCCAGTGCACATGTACAAACAGCATGAAAAGTATGGACTCAGCCATCACAGTGAATAAAATAATAACTGAATAGGAATACATAGATATGTATATATGTATTTTCTCATGGGCATAAAGGTTTTTTTYCCTCCACCTGCCAGGCATTTTGTTTACATGGTCTGTAAGATGGACCRTCTTATAAACTGAGATCACTTCTAAAAGTGCTTCTGTTGCCTACTTGTGATGGGAGATTATAACCTGATCTCACATACTAAATTTTCACATCATCTTCTGTAATAGAGACTACTTGAGCAGCACCRGCATATTTGTGTAAACTGTCTCATGTGACCTGCCACTACTTGAGATTTACACAGCAGTGGTAGGATTAAAAGGAAAAGAAACCAGAGCCTTGTTATACCAGGTGTTCTAAAGCCTAATGGAAGTTTTAACCATCTGAAAACCAAGGTGCAGCTGGAGAGTGGCAGCTGGATTGAGGGAGACAGTGCCAAGCTGGTTCCTGCTCAGCCGGGGRCAATCCTCATGTTTGGTCAGGCACTTGGCTTTCAGGGGTTTACTATTTGCGCTTTGAGAAAGGTTAAGCGAAGGCTACTGTCATTAACAAAGATGAACATATGGCTGGAACCTAGATCTCATGGGTGCAGTAGGGCTAAATATTGGCAGGACTGACATTAAAGTTGAGAAYCTGGAGGAGCATAAAGAGGCTAATGAAGGCTGACAATTAGAAGATGAGTCTGGTGAAGTAACATAAGGGAGACATTGTGACTGGTAGCAGTGGAAGGAAAGAAAGAACAAGTGCTGAGTTGCAGTGGTGAGAACCTTACTGAGATTCATGAGGTCTAGGGGGCTAGACAAGCTTAAATGAAAAATGGAAGAAAGAGCAGTAAAAGGCTTTGTAATAGAAAGGAAGTTGGAGGATACTTCGTGTCCTGTATTTTACATCATTCTGGATTATGGAGATCTCTGGGTGAGGCATTTCTCAGGCAAGTCTCTCCTAACATAATTGTTAATGGCTAGCTACACTTTCAGACTTTGTTGTTATGAGATAAAATTTCTTCATAAGGATTGTTCTTTTTCTATAAGTTGTCATATTTATGTATGTAGTGACACAAGTCTATATGTATAAAATAGGGTATGAAAGCTGAATAAGGAAGTAAGGAAGACACTGGGCAATAGCTGGGTATTAGATCTTCAGACTTCTGAAAGAGGAGACTGCTKTGCTGTAATCTGTTAGAGTTCCCTTTTAACTCTCTTGGGTTTTGAACTCAGAATGTTTCCTTACATGAGWAATACTGCCTAATGTATTTGTAAACTGTAAACCAGTATTATTTCAAACAGTAACTTTTTGATGATATCATAAGTACAATCTGTTCCACGCAGCACATGAAATTCTGTAGAAAAAGTGACTTAACACTTTTGGAAGATATTTTGGGCTTGATAAAATAAATTGGTTTTGCAAATAGGATTGATGCCTTTCAAATATTTGTAGTGTGCTGAATTTTAGATATTATTAGGAAAAGAGAAGTATAGTTGAGATTATGTAAGGAAATATTAATTTCTGCTTTAATACGTGAATGAATAATACAAGAGGGTGTGCAAGAATAAGATAAAAACACATTAGAACTCTTCACAGAAGAAAATCACCATTATAAAAAAAGGCCATCACTCTTCTTTAAGTTTTTTCTGTTAATGTGTTTTCTTAAAACTGTTTGATAAATCTATACCCTCATTTGCACATTGTGCTATAAATATGGCTATTTGGAGAATGTGATTGGTGTTGTAAAGGGATATATTTTTTTCCTCCACCTTATGATTTTGCACAGTATGCTTTTAGGTGGTGTTGGCAGAGTTCTGCTTGCAGTGGTTATGCTGATTGTATGTCAGTGTATTAGGTAAAATTCTAGCCCTCCAGGGAAAATAAGTCCTTCCTAAAAATAAGTCTGTAGGGAAACCTGTTAAATTTACCATTAGAAAGAGAAGAAAATACTGCATCTGAGAAAACACATGTAGTAGCAAGAATAAGTCCACTGAAGTATGATGCTGGCCYAGGGGGAAACTGCAAAAAGCACAGCCTGTTTTGGTTTAAGGCCATGAGGAATCTGAAGTATGATATTGTAAAAACAAGTTACCTGCATCTAAGATGAGCAGTGCCCTACTGTCACTGCATGACTTAGAATACAAATCCCTTTTTACATTACTTCTATAGCTTTAGCTAATGGTTCAGGCAGTCCAGTGGATTAGGATTCCAGAAKTGGTAGCATACAAGCAAGAATTGTCTTGAATTTCCTCTACTTTTAATTTTTTTTCCTATTCACTTCTGCTAATAAAAGAATGCAGAGAGACAACTGATGAGAACCCGGGCAAGAAAAAAGAGAAACTGGAGCCAAATGACAAATTATGGATTTAGAAGACTGAGGATTCGTAGCACTGGACTGCTGGTTTCTGACCATTGTGCAGGGCCCAAAGACACATCCAGAAAGCACCTGTAAAAGGCTAAATCTAATTGCATTAGGCATCGCCTCTTGCCGGCTTTTGAGTGTGTCAGTTAAGGAACAGGTATGGAGAACTGATAAAATCCTCTGTTGGAGGATTTTATAGACATGYATGTACATATTCATATGCTAAAGCTGCATACATAATACATAGTCACAATATACAAGTTTGTTACATACGTGTATTAGGAACATACTTAAGGTGTAACAGCTGTGTCTTTCTGAATGTTAACACTTTTTAACCTCTTTTGATACCTTYTTCTGTCTGAAATGTGGGTCGCAGA